CCAGACCTATGCAGACACAGTTTGGTACGCCACCAGATGAGAGGCGTGTGACGCGTTCAATGTCGAAAACGCCTCCGGTGATTGGACGCGCTGTAAACAATACGCCTCAGCAGGAATTTGATACGAAAAATTCACCTGAAGGAAAACAAAAACAAACAATGCAGTCGATTGAAATAGCCACTGAAATTGTAGATTCGCCAGTTGAAGCACAACAGTCGATGCACTCCGATGAAAGCGTTACTAAAGAATCAGTTACCACCACTAAAGTGGGGGATAAGTCCACACTAATGGCAACTCCCAAAGTTAAGGTCAAGGTCAAAGACATTCTAATTGGAAACCAAGAGGGTATGTCAAAAGTTGACAATGTAATAATTGTGTCCAATGTAGATGTAGCCAAGAATGACGACCAAGTTGGAATAATAGCAGAGCCTATCGAAGACAAAGAGGAGATAAAGCAGTCCGCTGAGATCACTGATAAACCCTTTTCAACTGACGGGAATATATCTATGAAGCAGCGTGACGTGCCGCCTAAGAGTGATGATACATGTACTCATGCTCATGTAATCGAAGATGTCCGTTTGCCAGATCTAACACCTAATATAAAGACTCGTTTGGTAGAACAAAAACGGTCAGGGCCTATGAAGAGTGTAGGGTTCAATAACAATGGTCAAGTTGATGAGCCTATCAAGCAGAAATATCCAAAGACCCCTGCACGCGTAAGTACGCCTGCGGGAGATGTTTATAGCCTCGCTGGTCGTAAGGCTAATAGCGAGGTAAGGGATAAGAGCGAGACGCCCTTAAAGCCCATAATCTTAAAGGGACGTAACAGCTCAACTCCTCTAACAAAGCTAGAGCCGTTGTTGAGCCAAGCTAATGGGTCCAATGAGCAAAATCCGCCTCCACCACAAATTGATATGATAAAACCTCTCTCAGCGTTGGAAGACAAGGAAGAGAATGTCCAGACAGCTAAAGAGACTCCCACCCGACGTCTTGTAAGCGAAGACGAGGATGAAGAGGAAGATGAATATGAAGAGAGTCCTGTGTGCGAGTTTTTTGCTAACGAGGTAGAGGTTATTAATAATTATCAGTCTGGCGACTCAATGGACAGTTCCGTCCGCCATGAAATCGAAGAAAATGAAATACCGCACGATGGTGAATCTGTGGGCAGTCAGGACACAGTTGATGATGACTCTGATGACAGTGCTGATGAAAAAATGTCGTTTATAGTCTCCGATAACGAAGTTGACGACAATGATATTGAATCTTTGTGCTTCTCGTCTGCCTCTGAAGAAGCTGACATGGAACCAAAAAAACGGCGTCGTATTATTGTTCATGACAGCAGTGCTGACGAGGATCCTGAAGAGAATAAAGAAATTAAGAAAAATGATTCTACGGAAGAAGATAAACTAGCTGAAAAATCGATACAAATGGATGAAAATGAGAGCGATATGAATAGAGAAGTAGGTCAGCTGGCAGTCGAACAAGCCGACAAGATATCAACATGCGACAAATCACCGGAATTAAAGCCAAATGACAACAATGATATTGAATCTTTGTGCTTCTCGTCTGCCTCTGAAGAAGCTGACATGGAACCAAAAAAACGGCGTCGTATTATTGTTCATGACAGCAGTGCTGACGAGGATCCTGAAGAGAATAAAGAAATTAAGAAAAATGATTCTACGGAAGAAGAAAACCTAACTGAAAAATCGATACAAATGGATGAAAATGAGAGCGATATGAATAGAGAAGCAGGTCAGCTGGCAGTCGAACAAGCCGACAAGATATCAACATGCGAGAAATCACCGGAATTAAAGCCAAATAATTCCGATCCCCCTAACAAAACAGCGCCACAAATTGGCATAAACTTGGGCGAAGAGTTTCAAAAAGATGCGGATCTATCGGTGGAAGAGCTTCTTTCCAGTTCCAATGAGAGCGACGAGCACGAGGTCAAAAAAAATACGAGCAGGAGCATCTATGAAGTGCTCGATTCTGGTGAAGAATCAAGTGAAGACAAAGAGTATGTTTGTGATAAGCCAACACCTGAAGATAATGAAACCACTAGAGAGGATGAAAAATCGAATTCAAACGAAAAACTCGCTAATTTTCATGAATCGCCTATCGTTAAAGAAGAAAAGCCAATTTCTAATGAAGAGAAACAAGAGGTGGTTGTCAAGTCAGTGGTACCTATTAGCGAATCGTCGTCATTCCATGCAAAACAAAAGCGTGAGGAAGAGGCAGCACTTCTGGGTGAACTCTCCTCCTGCGACTTATCGCACTTGCGGCAAATGTTCAATCCCCTCCAGAAGTCGCGGCGGCAAACTCTGTACGTACAGGATCCACATAAAGCCCCTAAGGAGCCGAAACCAAAATTGAAACGTCGCAGTGAACAATTGAACAGCGATGTCAAACCATCGCAATCGTTTATAGAAACTCTGGCCGAGGAAAAGATCCAACTGATGAAGCGCAAGCGTATGTCAAAGAGTTTTTGCGGAGCTGTCGATGGCTTGGACACCAGCGTACTATCGGAAATGCAAAATAAAAAGGCCAAATTCGGTGAGTCAGCAGCTAGCGATAACGAAATGGGTGTGGCAGTCGAAGCTGTTAAAGAGGAACTGCCCACTCCCGCTCCAATGTCGGAAGCGAAGGCCAAGGATGAACTGTCCGTAGAAAAAGTAGTCCAGCCAAAGAGTCGCAATGATTATATAGAATATTGCGATACCCTGATCCGGGCGGCAAATGAAGCGAAGCTGGAGGAGAAGAAAAAAGTAAGCAATCAGATAACTGAATGAAACTAATTTAATTAAATTCCAAAATTCTTCAGCGTATCGCAGCGGGCAAGAAGCAAAAGAGTCGCCTGTACGCTGCTACTCTGTCTACTTGCATTGCCGACCCCGCCAATGGCCCGTCAGTTGCCGCAGCCGCAACTAAATCGGTGTCGGAAAAGCCGACTAAGATTAAAAAGGATGTGAAACGTCTGCAAGCCACCAAGCAAGCTATCAAGCGTGCCATGCAGCTGCTAGCGCCTGATGCAGCAAATAAAGAGGTGAGTTGCAACAGAATGTTTGAGTGTCAATTATGACCTTTATATGTGCCCAACGCTGCCTTTTATAGCCCCAGTCGCTGGCTCGGAAACTGTCTCCTCAACCGGATATTAATGCCAAGCCCGCAAAGTCTAAGCAGCAGACGAAGACGAAGACAAAGAAAAAGAAGCCCACAGTTGTACAAAAGTCCCCAGTAAAGAGCTCCGACGAAGAAAATCACCATATCCCCAAACGTATTAAAACGAGTGCCGGTTATGTAACGGTCATGTCCAAGAAAGAACGAAGAAGAATTGAAACATTTAAAACATCATCCAGCATCGTGGAAGTCGAGCCCTGCACTCCCACCCAAAAGTATTTTAAAGAGGTTCTAGCATCACCCAAAACCCGTCACGGGTTTAAAGAGATGCCTGCCACCCCGAAAACGTCTAAAAAGAAGTCGACTGCTGTACGTAACCCAGCTACGGAGGCGGCTTTGCGCTTTAAAAGGGAAATATTTGGTAGTAGTTATAAATAAGTACATTTAATATTAGCAATTAGTTAGCCTTTGGTTGTCAACGCAGTTATGTTCTTGTTTAAGTTTAAAAATGTTCTAAATTTGGATTTTTTCATTGGAAATTTTGTTGCAGTTAATAGTTAATGCTAAGGAAATCGAAAGGAAATTATATATTTGTAATACAGTAAAAGATCGGAACAAAGCTTAACCAACCTAAACATGTTTAAATATTACATTTGTTCTGATTAAATGCACGTTAAAATTTAATAACTATTGTGAGTTTAAAATTTAATTGTTAAAAATGGTACCCATGAGCATACAAAACCATACAAGGAAAAGGCATTTAATTCAACTTTAGTATTCGCATTTTTTCAATATTTTGATTTAACTTTAAGTAAATTTTCAATAATAAAATGTATTACTAAAAAAATATATGTATATAAAAATATAAAACAATATTCCATAAGATCTGGCGCACTATAAGTGCTGCATAAACTTCGTAATATCATATACAAACTGGATTATTATAAACAAATAAGCGCCATTATGAACTTTTGTTATTTTTTTGTACGATCTGCTTAATTTTTAAAAACTAATAAATATGTACAGTTTATACACACAATTTACAAAGTTTTTGTTTTTTAGGAATACTGAAGTTAAGGCATTCTTTCATTGCATATAATAACAAATTTCTGATAAACAAATATCTAATAAATAACAACAAATGTTATGCTCAAAATATCCGTAAGCTGGCTGTTGCTGCTCAATTGAGCGGTTAAGTTAACATTTACGATATTGGAGAACCAAAATATCGATATGTTATATACAATTTTCATTATTAAGCAACATAAATGTGTTTCAGATTTTATATGAAAATAATAATAAAGTGCTGCCAAATCCAATAACGCTCCCAAGCCCATTGAAAAAAAAATTACGTTTTCCATATTTTGCTTTTAATTTTTGCAATGGAATGGCCGTTATGATTTAAATTGAAATGCTCAAATTAATAGTTGGCGTGCTGCTTAAAACGCATATATTGTAAAGGGATGGACAGTTTCAAAAACTGTTTAAAATATTTTATTTAAAGTTTTACGGTGATAAGTTTTCAGTATTGATATCTTAACAAATTGTAATGCTCTTGTAGTAACAATAAGTCCTAGTCAGCTTTAAATTATATCGATAGCACAACCGTATTTCTATTATCGTGCACAAATATCGTGTTCTCATCTACTGATTATCGAACAATCGATATTGTAGTACGCCATCAACATCCCTTGTCAAAAGCCGCAACAAGACCGTACAGAGCCGTCGAGTGTGAGGTTCGGGATTGTTATTACTATTATTGTCGATAAAGGGAACCCAATTAAAGATTAATTAAGAAATGTTATTAGAAACGTGATGTGTGTGCGTAGAAAAATTGAATAAAAAAAAAGTTAACAAAAATTTATATATTTTAAAAAATAATACAAGTGTATTATAAATATGAAAATATAGGTTTTTGTACGAACACAGAGATTAAGAAAGGAGACTAACGGAAATTGATCACAACAAAGCTCATATGCAACAGTAAATCTCCAAATTAAGAGACGGTGCTCGCTTTGCAATGCTTGGTTATTTCATCTCTAAGTTTAGCGTCGGTTGCTTGCTCGCTGAAATTTCACAATTGTAATTAGCATTGTAGGATTTTTCTGTTACTTTAAATATTAAAAGAAAACTGTTAAGAATTGCATGTCAAGAAAATTGAAATGGATGACGATAATAACGACGCTCCACGTGGTAAGTAGTATTGTTTCAAGCAGATAACCGTTTGAATTCAAAATGTCACGCCATGAACAGAAAAAACCGTGTTGTTCCGGCCCAATCTGCATGTTGTGTAAATGCCAGATATCATTATATCCTTCCATATCTTACCACTTTTAGTAACTCGCGCACGTACACGCCGCCTGTCCGTCCTGGATACAGACAGTCGCCCTTTGACGCCCATGCTGGATGTGGCCGCCGACCGGGGTAAGTGCATTTTGTATTTACTGGAACGTAATCAATATTGAACGGCGTTGTTGTAGCATCTCCGCGTCCAATGCGCAGAACTCGCTTAAACTCGGCAACAGTCGATTTGAGGACTCCGACACGCGCCACGCGCTTGTCGGTGGCCCGTGGAGAGACTCCAGAGCCTGCCACCCCTACTGTGACCTTGTCCTCTGTCAAACGGGGCACCCGCACACCGGCAAAATCTGTTCGTAAACAGTTGCCGTTACCAGAGGACGTAAATGAAGAAGAATCTAACACAAAGATGCAAGTGCAGACAAAGGCTGAGCCTGACAATGAAAAAATGAACGTCGTTACCGAAGATTCTAAAGCTGCTGTTGTTGACTCCAGACCTATGCAGACACAGTTTGGTACGCCACCAGATGAGAGGCGTGTGACGCGTTCAATGTCGAAAACGCCTCCGGTGATTGGACGCGCTGTAAACAATACGCCTCAGCAGGAATTTGATACGAAAAATTCACCTGAAGGAAAAAAAAAACAAACAATGCAGTCGATTGAAATAGCCACTGAAATTGTAGATTCGCCAGTTGAAGCACAACAGTCGATGCACTCCGATGAAAGCGTTACTAAAGAATCAGTTACCACCACTAAAGTGGGGGATAAGTCCACACTAAAAGCAACTCCCAAAGTTAAGGTCAAGGTCAAAGACATTCTAATTGGAAACCAAGAGGATATGTCAAAAGTTGACAATGTAATAATTGTGTCCAATGTAGATGTAGCCAAGAATGACGACCAAGTTGGAATAATAGCAGAGCCTATCGAAGACAAAGAGGAGATAAAGCAGTCCGCTGAGATCACTGATAAACCCTTTTCAACTGACGGGAATATATCTATGAAGCAGCGTGACGTGCCGCCTAAGAGTGATGATACATGTACTCATGCTCATGTAATCGAAGATGTCCGTTTGCCAGATCTAACACCTAATATAAAGACTCGTTTGGTAGAACAAAAACGGTCAGGGCCTATGAAGAGTGTAGGGTTCAATAACAATGGTCAAGTTGATGAGCCTATCAAGCAGAAATATCCAAAGACCCCTGCACGCGTAAGTACGCCTGCGGGAGATGTTTATAGCCTCGCTGGTCGTAAGGCTAATAGCGAGGTAAGGGATAAGAGCGAGACGCCCTTAAAGCCCATAATCTTAAAGGGACGTAACAGCTCAACTCCTCTAACAAAGCTAGAGCCGTTGTTGAGCCAAGCTAATGGGTCCAATGAGCAAAATCCGCCTCCACCACAAATTGATATGATAAAACCTCTCTCAGCGTTGGAAGACAAGGAAGAGAATGTCCAGACAGCTAAAGAGACTCCCACCCGACGTCTTGTAAGCGAAGACGAGGATGAAGAGGAAGATGAATATGAAGAGAGTCCTGTGTGCGAGTTTTTTGCTAACGAGGTAGAGGTTATTAATAATTATCAGTCTGGCGACTCAATGGACAGTTCCGTCCGCCATGAAATCGAAGAAAATGAAATACCGCACGATGGTGAATCTGTGGGCAGTCAGGACACAGTTGATGATGACTCTGATGACAGTGCTGATGAAAAAATGTCGTTTATAGTCTCCGATAACGAAGTTGACGACAATGATATTGAATCTTTGTGCTTCTCGTCTGCCTCTGAAGAAGCTGACATGGAACCAAAAAAACGGCGTCGTATTATTGTTCATGACAGCAGTGCTGACGAGGATCCTGAAGAGAATAAAGAAATTAAGATAAATGATTCTACGGAAGAAGATAAACCAGCTGAAAAATCGATACAAATGGATGAAAATGAGAGCGATATGAATAGAGAAGGTCAGCTGGCAGTCGAACAAGCCGACAAGATATCAACATGCGACAAATCACCGGAATTAAAGCCAAATGACAACAATGATATTGAATCTTTGTGCTTCTCGTCTGCCTCTGAAGAAGCTGACATGGAACCAAAAAAACGGCGTCGTATTATTGTTCATGACAGCAGTGCTGACGAGGATCCTGAAGAGAATAAAGAAATTAAGAAAAATGATTCTACGGAAGAAGAAAAACTAACTGAAAAATCGATACAAATGGATGAAAATGAGAGCGATATGAATAGAGAAGCAGGTCAACTGACAGTCGAACAAGCCGACAAGATATCAACATGCGAGAAATCACCGGAATTAAAGCCAAATAATTCCGATCCCCCTAACAAAACAGCGCCACAAATTGGCATAAACTTGGGCGAAGAGTTTCAAAAAGATGCGGATCTATCGGTGGAAGAGCTTCTTTCCAGTTCCAATGAGAGCGACGAGCACGAGGTCAAAAAAAATACGAGCAGGAGCATCTATGAAGTGCTCGATTCTGGTGAAGAATCAAGTGAAGACAAAGAGTATGTTTGTGATAAGCCAACACCTGAAGATAATGAAACCACTAGAGAGGATGAAAAATCGAATTCAAACGAAAAACTCGCTAATTTTCATGAATCGCCTATCGTTAAAGAAGAAAAGCCAATTTCTAATGAAGAGAAACAAGAGGTGGTTGTCAAGTCAGTGGTACCTATTAGCGAATCGTCGTCATTCCATGCAAAACAAAAGCGTGAGGAAGAGGCAGCACTTCTGGGTGAACTCTCCTCCTGCGACTTATCGCACTTGCGGCAAATGTTCAATCCCCTCCAGAAGTCGCGGCGGCAAACTCTGTACGTACAGGATCCACATAAAGCCCCTAAGGAGCCGAAACCAAAATTGAAACGTCGCAGTGAACAATTGAACAGCGATGTCAAACCATCGCAATCGTTTATAGAAACTCTGGCCGAGGAAAAGATCCAACTGATGAAGCGCAAGCGTATGTCAAAGAGTTTTTGCGGAGCTGTCGATGGCTTGGACACCAGCGTACTATCGGAAATGCAAAATAAAAAGGCCAAATTCGGTGAGTCAGCAGCTAGCGATAACGAAATGGGTGTGGCAGTCGAAGCTGTTAAAGAGGAACTGCCCACTCCCGCTCCAATGTCGGAAGCGAAGGCCAAGGATGAACTGTCCGTAGAAAAAGTAGTCCAGCCAAAGAGTCGCAATGATTATATAGAATATTGCGATACCCTGATCCGGGCGGCAAATGAAGCGAAGCTGGAGGAGAAGAAAAAAGTAAGCAATCAGATAACTGAATGAAACTAATTTAATTAAATTCCAAAATTCTTCAGCGTATCGCAGCGGGCAAGAAGCAAAAGAGTCGCCTGTACGCTGCTACTCTGTCTACTTGCATTGCCGACCCCGCCAATGGCCCGTCAGTTGCCGCAGCCGCAACTAAATCGGTGTCGGAAAAGCCGACTAAGATTAAAAAGGATGTGAAACGTCTGCAAGCCACCAAGCAAGCTATCAAGCGTGCCATGCAGCTGCTAGCGCCTGATGCAGCAAATAAAGAGGTGAGTTGCAACAGAATGTTTGAGTGTCAATTATGACCTTTATATGTGCCCAACGCTGCCTTTTATAGCCCCAGTCGCTGGCTCGGAAACTGTCTCCTCAACCGGATATTAATGCCAAGCCCGCAAAGTCTAAGCAGCAGACGAAGACGAAGACAAAGAAAAAGAAGCCCACAGTTGTACAAAAGTCCCCAGTAAAGAGCTCCGACGAAGAAAATCACCATATCCCCAAACGTATTAAAACGAGTGCCGGTTATGTAACGGTCATGTCCAAGAAAGAACGAAGAAGAATTGAAACATTTAAAACATCATCCAGCATCGTGGAAGTCGAGCCCTGCACTCCCACCCAAAAGTATTTTAAAGAGGTTCTAGCATCACCCAAAACCCGTCACGGGTTTAAAGAGATGCCTGCCACCCCGAAAACGTCTAAAAAGAAGTCGACTGCTGTACGTAACCCAGCTACGGAGGCGGCTTTGCGCTTTAAAAGGGAAATATTTGGTAGTAGTTATAAATAAGTACATTTAATATTAGCAATTAGTTAGCCTTTGGTTGTCAACGCAGTTATGTTCTTGTTTAAGTTTAAAAATGTTCTAAATTTGGATTTTTTCATTGGAAATTTTGTTGCAGTTAATAGTTAATGCTAAGGAAATCGAAAGGAAATTATATATTTGTAATACAGTAAAAGATCGGAACAAAGCTTAACCAACCTAAACATGTTTAAATATTACATTTGTTCTGATTAAATGCACGTTAAAATTTAATAACTATTGTGAGTTTAAAATTTAATTGTTAAAAATGGTACCCATGAGCATACAAAACCATACAAGGAAAAGGCATTTAATTCAACTTTAGTATTCGCATTTTTTCAATATTTTGATTTAACTTTAAGTAAATTTTCAATAATAAAATGTATTACTAAAAAAATATATGTATATAAAAATATAAAACAATATTCCATAAGATCTGGCGCACTATAAGTGCTGCATAAACTTCGTAATATCATATACAAACTGGATTATTATAAACAAATAAGCGCCATTATGAACTTTTGTTATTTTTTTGTACGATCTGCTTAATTTTTAAAAACTAATAAATATGTACAGTTTATACACACAATTTACAAAGTTTTTGTTTTTTAGGAATACTGAAGTTAAGGCATTCTTTCATTGCATATAATAACAAATTTCTAATAAACAAATATCTAATAAATAGCAACAAATGTTATGCTCAAAATATCCGTAAGCTGGCTGTTGCTGCTCAATTGAGCGGTTAAGTTAACATTTACGATATTGGAGAACCAAAATATCGATATGTTATATACAATTTTCATTATTAAGCAACATAAATGTGTTTCAGATTTTATATGAAAATAATAATAAAGTGCTGCCAAATCCAATAACGCTCCCAAGCCCATTGAAAAAAAAATTACGTTTTCCATATTTTGCTTTTAATTTTTGCAATGGAATGGCCGTTATGATTTAAATTGAAATGCTCAAATTAATAGTTGGCCCATGAGCTGCTTAAAACGCATATATTGTAAAGGAATGGACAGTTTCAAAAACTGTTTAAAATATTTTGTTTAAAGTTTTACGGTGATAAGTTTTCAGTATTGATATCTTAACAAATTGTAGTGCTCTTGTAGTAACAATAAGTCCTAGTCGGCTTTAAATTATATCGATAGCACAACCGTATTTCTATTATCGTGCACAAATATCGTGTTCTCATCTATTGATTATCGAACTATCGATATCGTAGTACGCCATCAACATCCCTAGTCAAAAGCAACAACAAGGCCGAACAGAGCGGACGTGTGCGCGGTTCGGGATTTTGTGATTGCTTGTAAATATTATTTTTGCCGATAAAGGGAAGTCAATTAAAAAATAATTAAGAAATGTGCCAGTAGCAAAATAAAATAATGGTAAACAAAAATGTATTTAGTATAAAAAGTAATACAAGTGTATTATAAATCATAAAATACAAAGTGCAGAGAAAGAAACGGTTGTTCTCTTATACCGGACGCGTAACGGTTTTTGTACATACAAACGGATTAAGAAAGGAGACTTAAGGAAAGTGATCAAAACAAATCTCATGTGCAACAGTAAATCTGCAAATTAAAAGGCTACAACATGTTCGAATTGGAGGATTATTCAAGCAGTATTCACGAGGGTTTCTTCAGTAAATATGCAGTAAGTACAATTGTACGAGCATTAATGTACACACACACATGTGCGAGTATTTATTCAAGAAAAGCAAGAAAGCAACACAGACAAACAAAAATTAGCAAATTCATATTTGTCGGCCGGTAAGACATATAAGCACATTAACCAATACAACGATATATGCTTTTATCGTTCATTTTCAAATTTGTAACGTTCGTTTTTATGCGAATTCTCCGCAGTCTAAAAAGCAGAGCTCTCAGTATCAGCTCTCCAACGTTAATTTTTCCTAGTATTTCTGCACCTGCATTCCCCTGCCATCTGAACAGGGCCTCCACTGTTTCGTATTCGCCCCAAGAACAGTTTGCTTCGGACCCCTCTCTCACACTGTTATTGCGCGGCGAAGCATTGTTGTTGGGTTTTTGCTACGCTCGCTTTGTGCTCGTCGGCAGATTCGCTTTCGTAACGTTCAAATTTTAAATTTATATTCGCCAGCTCAACACAGCGAGTAGTTCGCACACTAATGTACACATGTATGTTATGCATATGTATGTACATATTTGCGATCGCTTTGCTTTGAATTTGCTCTTAAGTCCCACTCATTGGCACCGTTGATTTATGGGGGTGTTTAGGAGACAAACAGGCGTTCATAACCGGAACAGAGCCGTTGTTTAAAGTAGAGCCGATAATATTAAAGAGTATATTAAATCATACATTCTAATAAAATTGACTTCCTTTACTGAGGCTTTAAGCGGTTATTTTTTTTTCTTTTATGCCTCAGTATTTATATTTCGGGTTATTAACTTGGCTATAATTGTGTGTGGAGACCAAGTTTATGTTAGGGTGGCGCCAATGTTATGGCTGACTCAACAGCGGTCTGTTGTGTGTACTAAAAATTGTTTCCAGTAAAAGTAGCGGCGAAAACGTTGCTGTTGTTCGTTGAAGTTTGAGTTGCGGAAACGGGGGGGTTGGTTTTTGTTGTCATCATTTATATCAGCAGAATTCTTCTAATTCTAATTCTCCACTCGTGGCTTAACCTCGCTAAATGTACATTGTTGAATCATGCGTAAGTATTTAACATTTATTGTTGAACAATACATGGACATGTGCATGTGTATCTTCCGTATATGAGTATGTTTTGTCAGTGTTCTTTGAGCTGCTGCTTCGTTGGTTTGTCTCTTAGAGTATCTTCTGCTTTTGCGTTTTAAACTTTTTGAAGGCCAAACGTTCACCTCGATTTTGTTGGCGGCTGCCTTTTTTGTAGCTGGGGAAACGCACATTTGTCTTTTATTTATTTTTCGCATTTTAGAGCAAATTTGCACATGGGCCTCGCAGCAACACACTAACATGTTTAGTTAATATTAATAATCTTAGTCCTGACCTCCTACAAAGTTTTTGCATTTACTAGCATGATAAGCAGCGGCAATCTTTTATTGAAGCATGTGCGCCTGTTAAATGCAACATGTACCAACTCGCAAAAACTAGCACACAAACCGAACACACGCATTAGAGCAGCCACAAGTGTGATTCGTGTGTGTGTGTCTGTGTATGCATGCATGTATGTGTGTGCATGTTGTGAGTGAGGAGAAACAAAGAAACGCAAACACAGCGAAACGCTTTTATCTTATACGTTGCTTTCAAACTCTACAAGTTGTGAGGGGAAGAGAGTAAGACCGACCGCTCAACGGTCACCCATCAAAAGCTTTTTCTCTTGCTCTCCCTTAAAAAACAGAGGGCATACAAACACACAAACATACACATACATAAACTTCAAAGTTCAACGTGCCGACCGGCCGGCAAAATTGAGTTTGAGTGAGTAAATGAGACACCCACAAGCCACAGCACAAAACAAAAAAAAAAAAAAAAAAGAATAAACTCAAACTCACATTCATGTGAGGCAACCTGTCTCTCTTTTGGGCTGCCCGCGTTCGTTTGTTGCTTAAATATGAGCGCCCAGCTGTATGCCGCATAGATTTTCTCACGGCCCAGGCACCCGTGTACCGTGTGCAGTGACACGCTTTGGGATCCCATTTGGGGACAACTTATATTTAATTTAGATTTGATACTGATTCTGATACTGAATTGTGTGTATGCTTCGGATTCTTCTGGACCATAATGTAAATTACAAATAGGCGCTCATAAGAACGGAAAAGACATTAGTCGGCTGCAAAATGGCCGGGCATATGTCTCTTTATCCTACCTGCGCCTGGGATCTGATTTGGATTTGTGTGTCAGAGTCTCAAGCCATTAAAATTTTAAGGTGAAAGCGGCGCAAACAGAAATGTAACAGCCTGAGGTGAGGTAGTAGCAACTACAAAAGATGCACGGCAGCTGCAAAGGCGAAGGCACCAAAAAGGAATTACCGATAACACACAAACACACACACACACACACATACACAGGCGCACACAAATTAAAGAAAACCAAACAAAAATGCGGCATAGGAAATGCTGCACCCCAGGCGTAGTGTCTAGGACATAATTTGAGCCAAGGGTGCGACACTGAGTGTTCAACATGCTGCCTGCCGAATGCTCAATTGCATATGTATGTATGGATGTATGTACATGCATGTCAGCATGTATGCATATTTTCATTTCAATGTTGCACAACTCGAAAGGTTATCCAGGAGTCAGCAGCTGGTCCAAACCGAAGTTTCCAAATGTTTTGCCTTTCGTCTGCCTGCTGCCAATTTTGAACGCCTGTTCAATGCATTTTTATTTCGGCACATTTTTTCAAAAACCTTATTTTTCTTGTTTTTTTTTTTTTCAAACAAAGAGAGCAGACGTCGGGTAGACAGAGAGCGAGAGAGCGAGAGGAAACACTGAAACTCCTTCCCAATCGTTTGCATGCGTGTGTATGTACACATATGTATATGTACAAACACTCTTACCTATGCAGGTGATATGAATTACCACCCAAGAACATCGGCAAATAGAACCAATTAGAAGCAGGAAGTTTCCTTTCCGTTTGTGAATGCAGCTCACAACTTACAGAGTACCAACTATGTATTAATATTAACTTACATACATACATATACAAGCATATTTATTCGGAATGCATGTATGTATGTGTGTATGCGTGTATGCGTGTAGGTCTGTATTGACTACAGGGACAACCCCTGAGTTTCAATATTGCAGCTGCCGGCCGAACGCCCGGTCTATCCGCCTGGTTTGTCTGCCAGCCTGACAAAAGGTTATCGGAGCACACTCACACACATGTATGTACATATACACGTACGTACGCACTCATTTTAAATACATATACATACATATATTTAAAAAAACAAATGACGATCCATAAAAGTGAAGTATGAAGAGTAGGACAATCCGCAATTATTTATGTAATTTAGGGGGAAAACTCGTCACGAAAACTGTAACTTATTTTTTGCTTAGTTATTTACAAATCAAAAATACATTTAGTTGAAATTTAGAACAATTTTATAATTTATGTGTATTCATAGAATATATGTACATAGATATCTGGACATCGAAATATTCCAAATATATTTCCTACAGTAACGGGATTAATTTTTTTTACTCGAGATATTTATCTTCCCTTCAAAAGTTGGCATATGTCACCATCTTACCATAATATGCATTTGCAAAATATCTTGTGCCCGAATAGGATTACCCAGAACTTATCAACATATGTACATGTGTATGTAGGA